AACAATTCGGCATTTTCAGCGTTTAACACTGCGCTGTCATAGCATTACAGGTTCAATAGAATAAAGACTTTATTGCCTTTTGAAATGGGTTCGGAATTGTATTTTTAACAGAATTATACTGCACGAATGAGTTGGCTAGTAGTGATTTTGCAATACCAATAGTTTTACTGCTTGGAAAAATAATGTGTGTAAGTATTGCGTTATAAATTGACAAGAATTCTGGGCGGTTATATTCGTATGACACACTCAAGAAAATATAGAAAAAACAAAACTCATAGTTATCTAACCTCTTCAGCTATCCAAGGAGGTCTGAGCCTCTGCAGTAGGGACGTAAGTAGGCTGATGATTATGAATAGTTATTAGTAAATAAATCGGTACTAATATTAAAAAGAGAAAAAGTTTAACTTTGTTTGTAGGGCGTAATATTTGGTAGTACTAATTCAATTCCAATCACAAAAATTCTTTTAGTATTGGTGAGCTATATCATCTATAATTTCCGCGGGCGAAGACGCCGAAAAATAGCTAGTGCTTAATCAAGTAACTTTTCTATAAGCTTAATTCGTAAACTGCGTAGGTTCTGAAACATCTAAAAATGCGATAAGAAAAAAAAATACATACACTTAAGTTAACCCTTCAACAGTTGTTCAAACAATATAGTTTATATTTTTTATGCGACGGTAACATAAACACTTGTCAAACTATCTCTCTGTTGTGGATGGATGAACAAGTTTGGCCCTCCCTGTGCTCAGAACTTTCAAATACCACCCCTACTTCTCGAGAACTGACGTGTTTTGATTAAACTAGTCACTTTATAGCTTAATATGTGGTTCACCAGACTGCTAAGAGACACTGCAACTATGTACATGGCATTAATTAACGGAGGCACTTTCTTAAACCTTCTAACATTATGTCACTTTAAAATTGTAAAAACGGATAGATTTTAATCTATCTAGCATTCTGAACTGACAAAAAATTTGCTATTCGTAACGTACTGTCGTAACGTACTGTGTTATCCAAAAGTAAGACTTATAGTCTTACTTTTGGATAGATTTTACATATATGTTTGATGTCTGCCTAAGAACTAATTCGCTAATTTGTTTCCAATAATATTAACAATAAATTAATAAATTAAATAACGTTGACTTTTCAAGATTTTTTTTTTTACATCCGATTTTGATGTAAAAAAAAACTCTTGAAAAGTCAACGTTATTTACTTCTAGAATGTCATATAAGAACCTACTACTTACCTATCTTAGTTAAATTTTAATTATATTTTCGTCGTGATTTTAATATAACCCAACATTAATAGCCGCTTCCAAGAATTAAATGTTCAAAATAAAATTCTTTTTATGAATCTTTTATCTCGATTATAGTAATAAAGAAAATTAAAACATCACTTTTGCTTAAGGAATCTATTTATATCTTTAAAATAGGACACGGTTGAGAGTTGGTGCAAATCTGATGGAAAGTTCTTCAAATGTCTATTGGAATACAGCGTTAGTACGCTACGAATAATAATAATAATAATAATAATAAATCTTTATTTGGTGCAGTAAAATAGGTACAAAATCAATTGCACGTTAATAGCTGCATTAGTCCAAGACTGTGTTGCAGATATTAGCGCCCACCTCGAACAGATGACAAACAAAAGCCACAAATAAAGGAAAATACAAAAATAAGAACGACAAAAAATATACAATGCACTTAAATAATGAGAGATTCCACGTCATTATAATCTAGTTCTAGTAACCATTCATTTAAAATTTGTTTACAAACTCGAAGTGGAAGACTATATATATTTAATTTATAATTAACCTTATTATATAAAATGGAGCTGAAATAGTAGTAATGGTATTTTATTAATTTAATTCGACACCTTTCTATGGTACAAACTCTGTCTGACCGTCTAGTGTTTAAAACAAAATTTGGATCATAGGGACAACTTCTGTGTTTACGCAGTAATAGATGAAACACAAACAATTTACGAACGGAGAGTACTTTCCATAATTCGTGTAAATCTTTGGTAGGGAATCGGACAGGTTTAAAAGCCATAACTTTTAGTACAGCTCTTTGTGCTCGTTCCAACTGCAATAAATGTGTCTTTCTAGCAGAACCCCAAAGAGTTATACAGTAGGTCAAAATCGACTGGGCTAAAGAAAAGTAAACAGTTTTTAGAGTAGCCCCGTTAGCACTACCCCTAAGTTTACAGAAAACAAAAATTAGTTTCCTAATCTTAGAGGTCACGGATTTTATATGCTCTCTCCATGACATCACACTATCAACAGTCACCCCCAAGTATTTTACAGAGGAGACTCGAGAAATTGTTTCACAATTGCATGCCTGATCAGAAGAATCTATGCATGTACGTAGGTGAGCTCGAATGTTGAAAGATTGTCCCGGCTGATACTGCAATCTTGGAGCAAATGTGACAAAGCAAGATTTTTTAGCATTAAGTGTAAGGAGGTTATTTGCTAGCCACTCCTTGACTACACTTAAAGCTAGCTCAGCACGGACACGAGTTTCCTCCCAGTCATGACCCTGCACGAGAATGGCTGTGTCATCAGCATATGTCACAATTTTACAGTTTGAAAGAGGCAGTTGGCATAAATCGTTAATATATAGCAAAAATAGGGTAGGTCCAAGGACACTACCCTGAGGAACGCCAGATGTTATAAACTTATCGTTGCTTATAGTATTGCCAATGAAAACACTTTGACATCTATTACTCAGATAACTCCGGAACATTTCAAGGACCAAACCTCGTATGCCCAATCGCTGCAGTTTGTCCAACAAGAGAGGCACGGAGACAGTGTCGAAAGCTTTCGATATGTCAAGGAAAAGGCATAAAGATTTCTGATTATAGTTTAAGTTCTTGACTATTGAGCTTGTAAGTTCAAGTATTGCATCTTCTGTTGATTTTTGTGACCTAAAACCGAATTGTTTTGAAGAAATAATATTTTTAGATTCTAAATAACTAACCAGTCTTTTATTTATTATTTTTTCCAAAATTTTTGAGAAAACTGTAAGTACAGAAATGGGTCTGTAATTAGTCACACTGTCTACGTCCCCATTCTTAAATATCGGGTGAACAACGGCTTTCTTAAAAACATCCGGGAAGGTACATGACGACAGACAAAGGTTGAAAACGTAATTCAGTATCGGAACCAAAACATGTCTAGCAGCGATAACTAAAGCCGCAGGAATGCCATCCCACCCAACTGCACAGTCCCGTTTAAGTTTCAAGATAATAGAATCAATTTCAGATTCATCTGTAGGAAATAATACCATTGATTCCTTAATGATAGGTACTGCCTCTACTGCAGCCGTTAAAGATGTCTCACTCTGAGTATCAGATCTTGATCTACTCCCCACACTTACAAAATAATCGTTGACAAAATTCACAGATGTTTGCGGATCATCAGATAGATAAAGAAGGTTGTCAGGTTTTGTTTTTTTGTTAATATTTGAGATTTTCTTTATTATATTCCATGTTTCTTTTACATCATTTTTATACTTAGTGAATTGTGCTTGTTCGTATTCACGTTTGATTTTTTTAAGAAGATTGTTGCAGAAATTTTTATATCGTTTATAAGTTACATTAATGATTTCATTGAAAGGATTTTGCTTATATTTACGAAAAAGTTTGTCTCTTTGCCGGATACATCGAAGCAAGCCAGGGGTAATCCAGGGCTTAAGAATACGTTTTCTGTTTGGTATAATGATAACTCTAGTATTTGCCCTGACAATGTTGGAAACTATCTCAACTAAATGATTTGCAGCACCTTCTGCCGACATATTACAGTTAACTGGAGAGAAATTAGCTTCTTCAATGTCTTTTACTGAGGTAGGGATATCAAAGTGTTTCATCGAGCAATTGCGATTTTTATATTTTACATTTCGTTTATAATCATTACAGAAGAGTACGGGATGATGATCAGTAAAAAGAGAATCGAGCACCAAAACAACAGCTGATTTGTCCGACTTTAATATCACATGGTCTAGACAATTTTCGTCTCGAGTTGGTAAAAGATGTGCCGGTAACATAGCGTGAGATGCCATTAAGTTCAAATATGCATCAGAGTTTGTATCGTTATTGTCAGCAACAATATTTATGTTTATGTCACCTACAAGTGCTATAGTTTTAAAAGAATGCAATGAAGCCAATACAGAGTCCAATGATAGGGCAAAGTTATCAATGTTCCTGTTAGACGGAGAGCGGTATATCGCTAAAATAGCAACATCAGTAGACAGTTTTAAAAGTAGGCAATTTGCATCTTTAATAACGGGTTCTTCGACTGTTGCTTTAATAGTATCACTCAAAAAAACCACTACCCCATCATTTTGAGTATAAAATTCAGAACTGTAAGTGAGATACCCAGACATTGTTGGTAAATTTGGACATTTACTTATCCAACACTCACTCAAAATGATTATATCAATTTTAAATTGAAATTTATCCACTAGTATACACAAATTTTCAAAGTTAGCTGTATTACCGATGCTTCTTATATTAACATGCAAAACTTTTAGGGAATTTAATATATTTTTTAAGTATAAATAAGAATTTTCAGGAGAGCAATTATACGAACTACTAACAGAAACAAGTTCAAGTTCTGATTCTATTCTTATGTGATCATTCATAATGCACAAGAATAAGTTTAGCATTTGAAATTGACGAACTGGGGAAAACCATTCATAAGCACCGTAGATAAGAAGACGCGCCTATTAAATTGTTTGATTATTATTAGTGAGACAGAGCTTGTAATATATTCTTTATATACTTGTAATAAACGGTTAATATAAGAACTTTTACAAATAGTGCTATATGATGAAGAAGACATTATATTATAATATTTATGATATTCAATTTTGGAAACACAGCAAATTGACATGTCGTACATTGTATTGTAATGTATACAAAAATATTTCAAACGATTAAATAAAATATACATGCAAAAAATTAGCCGAACAAAAATCGTAACAATAAGAAACAAAAATAGTCACTTTTGTCTACCAAGCTTTTGTAGATCTGATTCATCTTTGATCCAATGAAGAGTGGAACCTTCTTTTTCTCGGATGACAATTTTCCCATTGGCTGTCCAACAATATTTATATTCGTTACTACTTGCAAAAACCCTAGTGAGATAAAAAAGTCTTTTCATTTTAGCTGTTAGGTTTTCAGATATAAATATTGGTTTAGTAGTGCCAGAAAATTTTAAATGTTCAGTGTTCAGTCTACCATTTGATTTGTTGAAATTCTTGTAACCATTCAATATTCTGTCCCTTGTAAAAACATTTGTGAACTCCACGATAATCGTTTTAGTTTCATGATTTTTATTATTTATACGAAAAACATCTTTTACCTCCAAGGGTTGAATAGACACATTAATTATATTACCAATCTCGGTTAAGGTTTTTAACAAAGTGGGTTTGGTTTCAGACTTAATAACGGGAATGTTTCTTATTTCCACACAAGTGGAGCGACTGCTTCTTTCGTATTTTTCTATTTTATTTTCGAGGGATTCAATATAAACTTTATTATTCGCGGTTTCCTGTCTGAGCGTATTTAACTGATCTAGCATAGAATCATATTTATTTGATAAAAACTCCATGGAACTTCTAATCTCGCTATTTTGGGTTTTTATTTCTTCGATAACGGAACAAATCTTATCCAGTTTATCGTCCTGTTGTGCCTTGAACTCACTAAATAAGCCTTTCATTTCAGTCATGAAGTTCATTAGTTGCGAATCTGAAGTATTGGTGCGCTTGCGCTTCTGTCGTTGCGAAGCCTTGTCCATTCGTACGGTGTCATTTGTATCTGACACATGCGATTCACAATCTGATGCAGGCGCCGATATATGTGTTTGTAGTGGTGGGGAACGTCTTAGCGGCATGTTATAAATTATTCACACTACACGTACCAGGATCTCATAAACAAATAAAAACGTAATGAGTTAGTAGTATTCAAGGATATATGTCATAGCATTACATTTGTGTTTTCTGACGTTCCGCGACCAAAAAGGCGCAACGCATCATCCGTCAGATATCCACCAACCTTAATAGGTGAAAACTTATTTTTTTCCACTGTTCTAATTTACATGCAGTCAATTGCAAATAAAATTTTCCAACTAATTACTGAGAAAGCGATCTTTAAAATGACAATAATAGAATACCACATCTCTCCCGTCGACTGGTAGAGAACGCCTTATGATATTAAGTCCGCCATTTGTTCATTTTTATTTTTGCAAATGATAAACTAGGTAAACATACATAAATGAAATAAGGGCGAGAAAGAGACAAGGGCAAAAATTTTCGCCACTACAACCTCACCGGATCATAATAAACAGTAATTAAATAAAACTGAGGAGTCATGGTGCAATGGTTAGCGCTATATACGATACTTATGTAAAGCTACTTTCGCAAAAGCTCTTCATAGGTTACTGCCTTGGCCATTGTCATGGTTCGAGCTCCTCCGTTCTTTGAAGGGCACGTTAAGCCGTTGGTCTCAACTGTATCTGCAGTCGTTAAAACCCACTAATTCTCAGTAAGCACACGTGATGGGTTATGGCCCATTCTCCCTTTCGATTCCAGTCATAGAGAGGACCTGTACTCCAGCGGTGGGAAATTAAGAAGCTGTTGTTGATTAAATATATAATATTGCTTTTATTTAAATACGAAACTATCAGTCGGTTTTCGAATTGTAAGTTTGTAAAGTTAAACAGGTTTACGTTTTTGATTTTAGTTTTGTTAATGTCAGTTATTAGTTTGATAAAACTAGGAGTTTTTGACTCGTAAAACGTAAAAAACTTAAGTTGTCTCAATGCAGGGACTGGCTGTTAAAAACTTTTCCCTGTTATGCATCCTCACTCATAATTTAATAAAAAAAAGTATGAATAACGTTAAAGCCTGTTCATAAAACCCTTCAGTTGTATGATTGTCGCACACAATACAAGCATCAAAGGTTTCTTGACATAAAGAAACTCTGTGTTATAACGTAATCAACGTGACCCCAGCGATTTCCTTACCCGCCCTTACCTGGCTCACTGGTCTCGCACATAATACACGCATTTTTCCCTCCCTTTCTTCGCAGCACTTGAGATGCGGTCATTATCGCCGAGTTTGCGCCGAGCTTTTTTTGTATATGTTTTTCCGTGAGACGTAAATGTGGTTACCGCTTAATACAGGAATTCTTTTTTTGTTCATAGAATGGTGGGAATATAATGGAAATAATATTAATTTCCATAAAAATGCTTGGCGTTATTTTATTATTGTGATGGATATAATATATTGTACTAATATTCTATTCTGTTGTGATTTTGTGGGTGTCGTAGCGTACATTTGGTTTACATGGTTTACAGAAATTGTTGTTTACTTATTAATGCGTCTAAATAAACTGTAATCTAAATAGTATTACTCTTTATAATATTAGTATTATGTATACTAATATTAAACAGTGGTAAGGTTGCTAACTGATTATTTGTTTGTTTGTTATCTATTTGTAAGTGATCTTCAGAAATCCGAACCGATCTTAGATTATATCTGAAAATTCTTTCACCTATGGGAAGCTACATTGAATGCTAACAATTTATGTGGGCAAAGTCCCGGGAAAACAGATATAATAATCTATGAATTGAAAATTTATAAACATCTCTGCATCGACGACGCTCTAAACATTCATATTAGTTCAAAATTTAAATAAAATCACATCTTAAGTTCATTATTTGCAATATAGCGTTACAAATACGTTAAAAAGTAAATTAGGGAGTTGTTTTTTTTTGATAACAAAAAACAATTGCTATCTTATTCGTTGACTGAAGATGAATATGAATATTTAACAAATGCGATTACATTTTTTTTATATCTTCACTCAAAATAAAATATCAATGTTATTTATTTATTAACTAAAATAGCAATTATTATGTAGTAACAACATGCGTCTTTTAAAGCCCCTAAATCTTGATAAAATTTCTGCTAAGTGCCGTAAAGTAAATCGAGTAAGCCAATAGTCGCAGGTCCGCGTTAACTACGTAGATAACAAATATTCGCGCACAAAAACCGGACGGCGCGACCGGACGGCCGGACGCATCACCATAATTCAAAGGAGCTTCCCGAACGATAACAGACCGACCTTCGCTGTTGAACATACCTTTTTCGTGTTCTATATTTAATATGGAATACCTATTACCGCTCTTATAACTCGCAACGACTGAGTAGAGACATGATTTGCATTATGCGCCGTGCGTGGCTCTGGCTAGGTGAGTATCGGGGGCTAATTACCTAGTTTTCAGATCTATCGCAATCCCCATCAATTTCATATTGATAACAATTTCAATCGCGACGTTTATTTTAAAGATTTTAAAAGGAACGATCCTCTTAATTTAACGTTGGTTGAAATTGTCTAAGGCAATCTTTAGAGAACGAAAAAGAACGAAAGTGGCAGTGGGCAGGGCACATCGCTCGCAGGACTGACGGCCGTTGGGGCGGTAAGGTCCTGAAGTGGCGACCGCGTACCGGGAGACGCAGTGTTGGTAGGCCCCCCACAAGGTGGACCGACGATCTGGTAAAGGTCGCGGGAAGCCGCTGGATGCGGGAGGCGCAGGACCGATCGCTTTGGAAATCTTTGGGGGAGGCCTATGCCCAGCAGTGGGCGTCTCTCGGCTGAAGTGATGATGATGATGATGAATCTTTAGAGGCAAATAAATATCTTCCAAAGCTATTCAGAAATGACAAACGAAAAAGTTGAATGCTCATTGCAATCTTTCGATGGATTTAGCTAATACTTTTTTATGTTTCTTAATTTTTCTAATCATCATTAATTCGAAAAGACATTTCGACTTTAAACGTTACATAATTCAATAATCACTATCACAATAACTATACTTTGAAGGATGACGACTATTTTTTTATTTGTCCGTCAGGCAGATAATAAGAAAATATTAAACAAATATTTTTTCATAATAAAAAATTGTCGCCGACGTACTTATTAATTTTTATGGTTATAAAATTAAAAATGTTAGGCTAGAAAGTAAATATTGTTTATTAAAGAAGGCAAAATCAAAATACAGCTCGGAATCAGGATTTTTATTTAACAAAACAGACAACCCTAACCAACCCACACTATCTATTCTTAAAAAATACTTCACCCACTGTTTTTATTGCCTATCGCTACTCCAAAAATTGTCTAAATCATAATTCAAAAGATGCATCAAAAAATATTGAACAAAGTACTAATTCTCTTTTTTCTTCTACATATAATCATCATCATCATCACCAGCCCTTTTACGTCCCCACTGCAGGGACTCAGGCCTTCTTTATGGATGGTTAGGGAGGATGGGCCATGACCCCCCATGCTGGCCCAATTTATTTATTTATTTATTTATTTATTTATTTATTACAAACACGTCTTAAAAACTAACAGATGTTTCCATCCAAAACGCTTGCAAGATTAGATTATAAAAAAAAAATATTAAATTTAAATAAAGAACATGCAATAAGACATACTAACACTTAAATTATAATGATCAAATATTATTAAAAATGTCAAAAAATATAGGTCAAATCAAATTACAATAACAATCTAATAATAGAATTAAATGTCAGCAATACAAAAATATGAAAAATTAAATGTCATTGTCAATCTACAAACTAATAATTGAATTTCTACAGGTAAAAAAAATTAAAAAAAAATTATGTAAATTTTAATAGTACAAGAATAGTATTATCAGGATTAAGTAAAATTGTCATTTAGGAATTTCCGAAATTGATTATATAAATAATTAAAATTATCGGCAAATATATCCAGTTCATAGTGCTGAGCAAGTATGTCCCCGATAACACGTATTGCACGTTTTGTGGGCGCATGTCGACCGCGCTCCGTGCGCGCGGCCGGCAGCGCCAATAACCGTGGTTGGCGTCTAGGTGCAACTAAACCCGCGGAGTTCCAAGAGATTTTTGTAGGAGTTAACAAACAAAACTGTTCTTGAATGTTTGAGTTGTAAATTCTTCGGTGCAGAATCGAAAGATATAGGACTATCAGAAACATAGCCCTTCTCAGCTGTCCATTTCTACCATACCCAATACGAATAGGCTCGGGTAAAGATAGGGGTAGTATCCATAGCTTTTGTAATAAAGCCATCGCGCAAATTTGCGTTGTATTTTTTCTAACATGAGAATATATTTTTCCTCATATGGATCCCACACAACTGCTCCATATTCAAGCTTGCAACGCACATATGCAGCAAATAAAATTTTACTAACTGCCACGCTATTAAATTGTAACGCCGTTCTTATCACAAAACCAATGCGGATTGGAGGGTATTAACGACTGCAAATGCAGCCGGGACCAACGGCTTAACGTGCCTTCCAAAGCACGGAGTAGCTCGAGATAATATTTTTTGGTCACCCATCCCGTGACCGAACCTTGCGAAAGTTGCTTAATGACAACGATCGCGGATCGCGGCGAGTAGCACGGTGGCGTAGTGGATACTACGCCACCGTGCTACTCTTTCTCCGTATCTACTTCTACATATAATAAGAATTATATATAACATAATTTAAACCGAATGCGCTAACCCACTACGCCATCGGACCCCTTATACCTAAGCTATAGTAATATTATAAAGTGGAAAGATTTGGTTGTTTGTTTGTTTGCATCGAATTTGCTTCAATACTACTGGACCGATAGTTGCAGAGCGAATCCGACCTACCTATGTCATAGGACCGACCTATGTCATAGGCTATAATTTTGCGGCAAAGTCGTGGGAAAATAGCTAGTTCATTATACCCTGTGAAAAGTTATCTGCAGTACGCCTGTGGATTATGAAGTCAACACAGGTTGGCGATAATCAAAACTACTTTCTCGATCTTTATTGTGCAAACTGCGAGCTCTTTAAGA